AACTAGCAGACGACAGGCTATTCTCGAGTAAAGATAACCGGTTGCGTATCTCACTGTATAAATCGTAGGTAAAATAGTCTGGCATGTGGTAGGTTTAACAGTTAATTAAAATACTTACCGCAATATTTCTTTGACAAGTCGTATTATTAGCAGCGTATTTCAAGACAACACAGAATTTTTTTGGGGGCAGATTTTTTTTTTTTTTTCATTTTCCCAAAATACAGAGTCGGCGGGTCTGTAAACCGAAATATCAAAAAATAATGGCCTTAATTTTTTACCGGACCGTCGGGCCGTCAATACATATATTTTTACCGGACCTTCTGATTTTTTACCGGTAAGGCCCACGGTCCGACGGTCTTTCGGAAAGACTGTCATAATGGTGAACATTTCTATGAAGTTTCATTAAAATCCCTCCATACATGTAGGAGATATGCTCCGGACAAAATCTGGATATTTCATCATTTAGTGACCTTGACCTTGTATATATTGACCTAAATTATATGTATCACAGCCATAGTCTTGATAATGACCATTTGTGTTACAATCCCTCAATAAATGATGACTAAATGGTCCATATACACATCTTCATATTTTTATCTGAACTTTGACCTCTATGTGTGACCTTGACCTTGGCCGCAAGGACCTGAATCTTGCGCGCGACACTCCGCCTCACAATGGTGAACATTTGTGCCAAGTAATATTGAAATCCCTCTATACATGTGGAAGTTTTGCTCCGGACAAGCATTTTTCAATGAACTCTAAGTGTGACCTTGACCTTTGACCTAGAGACCTGGTTCATGTGCGCGACACTGCTCCTCATAGTGGTGAACATTTCTATGAAGTTTCATTAAAATCCCTCAATACATGTAGGAGATATGCTCCGGACAAAATCTGGATATTTCATCATCTTTAGTGACCTTGACCTTGTATATATTGACCTAAATTATATGAATCACAGCCATAGTCTTGATAATGACCATTTATGTTACAATCCCTCAATAAATGATGACTAAATGGTCCATATACACATCTTCATATTTTTATCTGAACTTTGACCTCTATGTGTGACCTTGACCTTGGCCGCAAGGACCTGAATTTTGCGCGCGACACTCCGCCTCACAATGGTGAACATTTGTGCCAAGTAATATTGAAATCCCTCTATACATGTGGAAGTTTTGCTCCGGACAAGCATTTTTCAATGAGCTCTAAGTGTGACCTTGACCTAGAGACCTGGTTCATGTGCGCGACACTGCTCCTCATAGTGGTGAACATTTCTATGAAGTTTCATTAAAATCCCTCAATACATGTAGGAGATATGCTCCGGACAAAATTGGACGCCGCCCGCCCGCCAGGGGCTGTCCCATAATACGTCCCGTTTTTCAAACGGGTGTATAAAAAGTTACTTTAACATATCCTTTTTGATAAATTAGCACATTAAAAAAATAACTGTGATTAGAGATTAACAAAAAATGGCCCACGGGATTTTCCAAACGTCGACGCATGCGCAGAGGTCCCCCTTTACGTTCGGAGATTTTCGGAATAATCCGAGCGATCTGATGATAGGTTGACCACTACCAATTTATTCGTTTTGTTTATGGTACAAAATGCCTTCAAGAAAGATCACACTGCTAAATTCATAAGAGCTTTCCGCGCCATAGGTACCACCTAATTTCATATTATAGGTCTTGTTTACATAATTTGACATTGTTCTGATGATTAAGGGGAGATTATTCTATATGAATTTGATCATTCTTGGCAATGAAAATGTGCCGAACGCCTCTGACCTGAACGCAAAAACTTCACGAATGTGGCACCGGCGCTTACTGGGTAAGGTAGGTCTCCCTGTTTTTCGAACAGTCGACCTAATATAAATAAAGGATCCGTACAGGTATTGCACAAATTTTGGACGACCAACTGAGAATTTTATTTGTCAATCACCGAACACCCACAGGGTGTCATGTATCAAAACCATTACAGAGTGAATTTGCATATAAAACTATTTTTGTTTTTCTTGTTGTTTTCAACTCCTACTTGTTAATTTAATCAATATGCGAAATTTAATGATAATTTGCTGACTTTCACCTTATTTGCCGCCATGATTGTTTAGCGCCACCTATCGTGCAACGATATAAAACCAACGCCATACTCTCAGGGTCTGACACCGCTAATATTTGTATTTATTTTCGCACATTATTATAAATCATGTAAAATACCAGGCCACGGTATGCTTTATTTCGCTAACGAGAATATGCTCAAACAATGACTTAAATACCATTCTAAATAAATAAATAAATAACAAAATAAAAATAAAATAAAAAAACAACAAAAAAAATGAAAATCCATACTGTACTGTAATGGTTTCCTAACAGTGTCCGGTTCCAATTATTAAATAGCACATTTTAACAAATCAAATAAAAATCTGTCTACGGACGAGTGCAAAACTTTGACAGGACAAAGTTAGGAACTTGAGGGGAACCTGGTGTAATATTCTTTGTATATCTTATATACTATTAAAGTTGGTCCATGCGATTCACAAATGTGAATATAATCAGAGAAAAGACACAAGTGTGTTCTAGTCAGTTTTATTATCTGGACTGATGCATTGGCGGGAAATCTCCCAAGATATAACATTCTACAGGCACAACGTGGTCAGTGGAAATTTACAGAAATGAGTATTAAGGTTAAAGGTCATATGAATATAAAATAACTCAATATCATTACACCTGGATCGTATTCTTTTGTCATATGAATAACCTATTGTGTTATTAACATATACTGTTTCATTAAAACATTTGTAATTTGTTAAGACCAAACTTAAACAAGCGATGAGAAAAATAAATCTCAGTACATGAACACATGTAAGAGATGCTGCATGAAAACGTGTTTTCAAATGATAGAAGAAAATTTGCCTAAAAAGAAATAATTTTTGCGTGATCAAATATTTGCAAATAATTTCATTTTTCAAAAATCGCAAATATTTCCACTTACATATACACTCTTCCATGAATTTTATGTTTGATTATAGTGTGCACCAGCGTATTAGATCGAACCATCGGACGGCCATGGGATAACGCTAATCCTTCACAGTCTTTCAACACACAAAGTACCAGAAATAGTATGCTCGATGACATTCGGGGGAAATCGAACCTTAGCTCGTGTTTGAAAATTGGCAGCTTAAATGTTAGTGTTTTAAAAAAATAAACTTAATGTGTTTTTAGAACAAGTTAATTCATACGATATTTTCTGTATTTTAGAAACCCATATTGACTCATTGAATAAAGTGTACTTTCATGAATATGTTCTTTTTTCATTTAATTTACCTAGATCAAAAGAATATAGATTCAAATCTGCAGGTATCGGTGTTCCTGTACGTTTAGGCTTATCCCAGTATGTTAAATTAGTATATAGACTATGTATTGTGGCTGTCGTTAGATACACAGCTATTACCAATTTCACGGAAAATGTCTTAATTGGTGCTATTTATTTGCCACCTTTTTACAATTGATGAATTTAATACTTAAGCATGTTTGAAAATGAGGTTGTTAGTATGTGTTGCAAATTGAAAAATACTTAAGTTAATTGGCGCTTTTAATTTAAGGACGTCCGAATAAAGAAATTATATACCATCTGACCCATTTTATGCGACTTTTTTGACGTATACATATTAACACACACGTGGAAGTCTTATCTTGAAATGCATTTAATTTTAGAAAATTTGTCCGTGTCATTAAACAGAAAATGTCAAGATTGTAGAGTAAATTCTCATGGGTTAAGTCGAGATAATAATATGTTTATTGCATAATATCTTATATGGTCGAATTTGAAACGAACAAAATGGTGCTTTCACTTTGAAACACAAGTTGACGCCTTTTTAATGGCGTATTGTCTTGAGTAGATTTATATTTTAACGTTATTGAAACGAACCATTTACTGTCAAATGGACATAGTTTATTAAGTATATCTATAGGCCCTCCCGTCTCCTGAATCGATTCAACAAATACATTGGCAAAATGATAAACTCGCACAATACCGTATTAACATAGATTTGGCAAGGTTGCAACGAATTGCTGGTCAGCTTAACTCCTCCTCACAGTCACCACAAACAGTTGCGTTTTATTACAAAATATGATAAACAAGATTAACAAGGAAAGGCGGCGTTCAATGAACGCAGCCCCCACCCGTAAGCGACCTATATATACTTTCCACTGCGACAAACACTACTTTTTTACAAAAAAAAAACTCGTGCGCGTAGTAAATTTTAAAATAAATGTCCTTGGTTTGGTATCGAGTTCACCGAGTCAGAAAACTTTACCACCATGTAATAAAGAGGTATCATCAATAACCTAGTGATTAAAATAATCGTCTGTTAAATGAGGCTAGCAAGTCTTATAAATGTATTATATAACATTATGTACAACAATATAAACATAAAAGATAAATTTATCTTAAAAATAAATTTTTAAGCCTGTAGTCCAGTCGATAATATCATACATAAAAATACAAGATAATTTTCAACCAATTTACAAAAAAGTTTTTAACATTGTTTTAGACACAGGTTATATTCCCTCATCATGATTGATTTATGAACAATAATAAATTTAGTGTGCTTATTTGGTGCACTAGTACTATGGTGTATATTATTAAGTGACTTTTTCGCATGTTGCTTTTATGTTGTGATGTACCGTATGGCATAATATATCAAACCTAAGACAGGGAAAAGAGGTTCTTATAGTCAAGGTGACAGCATATCAACCAAGAAATCGCAGGTTTAAGTACCACGTCTCACTCTTCCAGGAAGTGGAAAAGAGGGTGGTTAAAACATTTCTATGCTTTTCTTACATTTGAGCTCAATATATCAGTTTAAACTGAATTAGAAATATATTTAAGAACATTAATCCATGCTATTTTATGATAAACTATTTATAGAATCTAACTGGATGTTTCTAACAGAGTAGAAGTCTTTCAGAGTATAAATCGTGAAGGTATAACAGAACTAGATATCTTTGCTCTACATTTAATTACTAAGGAAAGTGAAGTACATTTTACTAAAATGAACAATTTTACACTTATATGACAAATATTGGATGACAATAAAACAAGCATAAAGCTAAAAGAGTTTTATCAACAGTCAGTTTATTGTTTGGTCTATTTTCCAACATCAGGATTGTCTACACAACAATAGAATTCTACATCATTAAGAGCCGTGTCATCACCATCGGTCAAAGGCTGCTCAACACGTGTCTTTATCCCACAGATAGCTGACATTGGAGGACAGCTATCACTCCAGTCTCCCATCTGCCCATAATGTCCGTGTCCCGGTGGGGAAGCAAGTTCAAATGGTTTGTAAACAGACCCAAAGTCTCCGCATTTAAACTTCACGTAATTGGCCGCTGTATCGTCAAACTCCTAGTTATGAGAGATTTCAGAAGGTTACTCAATATTGTTATAATAGGATCATCAGATCAATATGATATAGAATTAAAAAATATCAAACGTTTTCAGTGTATAACTCTACTTACATTCTGCTGCTTTCAATCTAAATTAAAACAATTTTTGAATGTAAATGTTTAAAACAGATTTGTTGAGTATATTGTTATTGCGTATCTCTTGTTAACGTTTCATTAAATCAATTTCAAATACATCTTATCTTAGATCATATCAACCCTTTTATCTTAGTCAGTCCTACAATCATCAGTATTTATCAATATATGCATGATCAATCACTACCTGTACATAATCGATAGTCCGTTTATATTCCCTTTGTCTATCGCCCCAGCTAATTCTCTAAAAACTAATTTTACCTCCCAATTTTTTCTGTATATTTTTGAAGAAGTTTAAATGGGGGTTTAATTTTGAAATTTTGAAAGTTTTTGTCAGAAGTGCAAAAAGCTAACAGGCAGGCGTAAGATTTAAAATGATTTGTTACAGCTTGTTAAATATTGTACCCATCGTCCCAACACTTTCAAAAAGGCCAAAATGATTGGAATTACTATTCACTTAAATAAATCAACCATATGTTCTCAGAATCTTTAAATACATACGCCTACACTTCTTTGCACTTGCAGTTGAAATGCTGTGAGGAAAGCAGGCGTTCCATCGATATTGTGACACGATGCGTTGTTATACCAAGTACCCCAAATACCTTGATTCGAAGTGACCTTCCCTCCATAACGAACTCCGTCAGGATCTTTACACACTAGTGCAATCGCATTCAAGGAAGTATCATCACCGTTAAGTTGATATTGCTCAATCTATAAAAACAAGTTCTAGTAGTAAAATGCTTCAAAAGGAGATATTAATTTTGCATATTTAACTTTCCAAAACATACAAATTTAATGAAATAGAGAAAAACGGAATCCTTAAAACGCTCAAAAACTGCAAAAATTGAAAACCTTGATTGAGCCAGTGGTATTTATCATTTAAACTGAACTGGTAAAACTTTTAATTTAGTAGGATTCGCAGATGTGTTCATACGGCGGCTATCATGAAACCTTCAATGCGACACGTTCATGTCATTCCATAATCAAGCGTTGTAACTATGCCCCCAAGTAAAAGGGTGCGTGTGCCCCCAACGATAAAACAATAGGCGAAACAAAATAAGATAGAATTATGAAAGGGAATTAGAGGTTATGAAGACTGCATATCGCAGAAAAGCAGATTTTAAAAGCTGGCGACATATACTTAGGCTGATTCAACATTAAGTATGGTGTACTGGAACCACCCATCTAGAAGAAGACCAGATCGGAAGAACTAAAGGTTCCATTACCCAACCAAAATGTCGTACTGAACGATCTTCAAACATTGGAAATATAACATCACTGAGTGAAATACATGTGTATGATAATTCTCATACCACTACATGAAAATAAATTCTATACATTTTTCTCTTTTTGATATCACAATGTGAAAGACTTCCCCTTAAATTATGTGTGTTGGCTGAATTTTAAAGAAAGAAGTCCTGCAAGATACAAGTGAACATACCGAAAATATATGTTTAATACAGTATATTTCATTGATAAGTACATAATAAAATGTGAATTTCGTGTTAGTTCGTTACTGAATTTATTGAACTCGTGGAATAATTTAAGTATTAAATCTATACTCATTCAATATACCCTCTATATCCGCTTTTTGTATTAACATTTTTGTGAAAGGGTAGACCGAGTAGCTTTACAGTTTAAACGATATAGAAAAGAATCATGGGCGTGCTTACCTTCAGTTGATACCCGACAGCATACGTTCCTTCAGCACAAAACTGTGTTATACCCCATCTTCCCCATGATCCACCGTTAGATACTTTTAAAACTTTTACTATGCGTCGTGGAGCATCTGGAAGAAGAATAAAAGACACTGATATATTCATACATAAAAGAAATAGAAAACATTTTCTATCCATTGTGCTTGAACTCACGTGCACAATCTGATAATGAAAGGTATTTAGTCTTATCTTGCTGTCAGAGATAGCGAAAAAAAAACAACAGTAACATAATTAAAAGTTATACATTGTGACGTTTTCGTTATCTCATACACTATATGGACACTGTTACCTTCGTGAAGGTCTCAAAAGCCTGAACTTTAAATTCTTACAAATTTTAGAAACATCGTCAATTGATTTTATGATACAGTACGCTCACCGCGGGTTTTGCTTTTTCCGCGATACCACCGCGGACGATTTTTTTTTATCGCGGACAAACGCGGGGGTTCGTCCGCGATGAGAAGCCTAATTTCCCCGTGTTCAGTTGTTTCCACCGCGGACAAAATTCTGACGACCGTTCTTCATTTATCGATAAAATCAGACACCCGTTTCACGCGGGGGAACGCCATGGTCAGTTGGTCAGTATAAATTAACCTCCAAAAATAATAGAAGTTTTAATATTTTTTAACGTCATCTTTTTTACATTAAATGCGACTCTTGTCACGTTGACTGTCTTAAGGAAGACATTTTACATTGTAGAAAGTTATGATGAAGACAATTTATCACTACAGCTATTGCTAGATTTTTTTTCTGAGAATGAGATAACTGTCGAATATGTTTGTATAAATCTTTAATTTAGATAAACTAGCCAATGAAAAACATTTGCTCCATTAGGTAATTTTGAGAACAACTCGGAACTTTAAAGCATTTTCAATTTATAGTAACAAACAATACATGTAATACATTAAAGAAAGCACATGTGATGCGACTTTCATACGTCTAAAATGCATCTTTGTTTGAACAGACAACGAAAAGCTTGTTTATTTTTCCAGCGCTCTTAATGTATGATAACTATATATAATAAGCACCAAACGCGTTAAAAACAAATTCCGCACCCATTAAAAAAATAATAATTAGGCTGCCTTTTACAAATTATAAAATTACATTATTATCCTCGGAATTAATTTCAATGAAAACTTAATATAATAAATACAAGAAAGCAAAGACAATTAAATTCAATTGTATGTACTTAAAACTACATGTTGTCTACAAATACTATTATTCCTATGAACAATAATATCTTAAGATAAAATTAAAATGAAATATTTTTAACTTGAAAATCGGTCGATGGAAGTTCTTAGAAAATAACTGCCATGTGCTCGTTTGCCTTATATACATGTATGTACATGCATACTTTTCATAATAAAATAACAAAAGTATAACGTCAAGTTTAACAAAGTTCTGCAAAAAAATCTATAAAAAATAAAAAAGAACAAGCAACAAACTACTAAAACAAAAATGAAAATAAACTTCAACAGTTGATACAAACTTCAAAACATATACTTTACGCTCACACCTGTAATTACATAAATCAAAATATCATTTAATGTATATTTTGGTGAAAACGCTTTCTTTTAATGTTCCAAATAAAATATAAGACTTTATGATCAACATGCAAATAAAAAGAAACAGTAAAACGCATCTGACAATTGAAAGAGACGTCCTGGAAAATTGCCTGAATAAAATTGTTGAGGGTTACGTTTTCAAAGTTTTTAAATAAGAAACAAAAGCTGGCATATAAATTGTTGTAGTATCTTTTTCATAAATGTCATATGCCGAATTTTTCATTATTTGACTTCAAGTTTCTCACTACCATGAAGTTGCGACGACAATGATTTATCTTGATGTCGAATACATATTATACATTACCCAACACAATAACAAGAAGAAGAACAAGAAAAACACTGCATTTGTACATGTACTTTTATTACAACAAAAAAGAAAGAAAACAAACAAATTTTACATATAGTTACATGTATATGTACAGTACATGCTACAGTACATGTACGTACGTAAACTGATATTTAAATACAGTAATTAATTTTTAAAGTTTAAGGTTTCCACCGCGTTGACCGGTGTTGATCGCCGTGTTCCCCCGCAATTTACCACTGCGTTCCGCGGGGGAAACGGTTTCAGCCGCCGATTTATGTCCGCGGTGGTGAAAATTTACTGTCCGCGGGGCCACGTGGACAATATCTGAGCAAATTTTCGTCCGCGGTAAACCTCATCCGCGGGGTCACGCGGGTTTTGAAAAAGTCGCGCTGAGCGTACTGTATACTACCACTATCATTTCAAATGTTTCAGAAAGAGGTCCACAAAAATATCCCAGTATTTTACCGGAATGATATTTTATTGGATCTTTCTCTGAAATCTAAAGTATTTTAAAAAATGTACAATGAAATATCGATATTTTGTTTAAAGAAAAATATCTAAATAAATTTAGTGTCTTAATGCCAAAAATACTGTACGGTATGGTAGTGTTTTTTGAAATATTTTTTTCCAGGGTGCATTTTACTGGGACACCGAAAATCGCTTACGGTATGGGAAAAATAACAGACGATGCTTATCCTGTTATCTGTGATAAATACTAAATTATTTATATCTAGATCTGAATGACATAGCTTTATAGCAAGTTATATTTAAAGTGAATGATGATATGGTTGTTGAAAGCATACCAGCATGCGCTGAAAGTGCATCCTATCCGAACGGCAGCAATTTCTGCAGGTAAAATTTTCCAACATTGCTTTACCGTTAGTTCTGGCTTCCATAACTTTATATGTCGCTTTTATTTTGACGTTGCGACAGTAAAGTTATGGGTCAATCCTATTTGCAAAGGCTACCAGAATTTGACAGTTTGTGCGCCGTACATAAAAGCCTACTAAAATCACCCTTTTTAATCAAATTTGGGTCAAATAAAAATATCGTTTGATAAACAAATCAATTTTGAACCAATTCATGTTTTGTTTTTAAATGTAACTTCAATGACATTGTGTACCCAACTATTTTTAGAGAAATATGTAGAGGATGTTTACCAATATGGAGTCTGCTTTCAAATGAGATCTCGCGGGACTTCATGTTTTGGAAATTCTAACATCTATTTTTAGTAACGGACCATACACTATTTTTAGTAAGTGTATGATTTTATATAAAAACAAACAAATAATTCATGAATCATCACTCAAAACAATATAAATCCAACATGTTTTTGGTACAATGTCTGTTATTGAATAAATACACCGTTATTCATAATTGCAAAGCCATGTTTTCAATTAAAAATAGCATTTGGGTCACGTGTCACCAAATGTCATGGAAAGGTATCCGAACCTAAATTCTCGCTGGTCACGTGATAATTAGGCAGCAATGGCGGCGGGTTTTATGAAATGTGAACCCGCTGATAAACTTTGAGGCAATATTTCATTAATCTAAAATATAGACTGAAGGGTCCCAAATATATCTAACTACCTGTATTAAAATAGTTTTTGTCCAGATCACGCAAATTTATTGAATTACAGCATGACATAAAAATGTCACGGGTCTGGTTGACTTTCGATACGGGGTTGGCTTCAGCGAACAGGTCTAGCAATACTATAAAACCTGTTCGCTGAAGTATCTTTAGCTACTTTACCGTGTGACATGTTCTTTTAATGCCATTAATTTTAGAACACGGGCAGGGCTTTGAATGAGTATCTGAATAATTTTTATAGTGATGAGAATGTTTGCCAATTGCCAATCCACTCTTTATTCTTTACAAAACAAAACAGATATCTACTTTACAAAAAAAAACTTAACCATTTAGGAAATTTACAGTTTATTTGAAGTAAAATACTTCTTTCATACAAATATCTATTTTATTTTTTAGAAATACATCCCATCTGTCCACAAAATCTGTAATGTTTTCCAGATACACTTATGTTTACTGTGTAAAATGTAATGATTTCCAGGTACATTCATGACTACTGTAATATGAAATTAGGTGCTAGCTACCTATGGCGCGGATTTTTTTCACAGCTCATTAGGTATAGGATATATATTTTTTTGAAATTTTCATTTACTTTTAATTTGATTTCATTTGAATTGATACTCGTCATACATGTTATCTAAGAGTGCTACAGCCTTCGCGGGGCGTTTGGCCCCGCTCGGGCTTTCCGCGTATAAAATGTAATGATTTCCAGGTACACTCATGATTACTGTATGAAATGTAATGATTTCCAGGTACACTCATGATTACTGTATAAAATGTAATGATTTCCAGGTACACTCATGACTACGGGTGATGCTATAGCTCAGACTGTTATAGAGAAGAAGAAATTATCACAGTTTGAACTTAAACGATCACTGAGATTTGTAGTGTTTGGTACTTTCTTGGCTGTAAGTAGTAGTACATCAGCATGCCTGAAAATAGCCTAGATTTGAGCTAATTGCACTATTTCTGACTTATTAGGCTCTTAACCTGCTATGTTTGTGTAGCAGAGGATTAGCTAAGCTTTGAAATATGGAACAATATATTTGATTTGATACAATGCTAAAATACAAAAGCTAATCACCTTTGGTTCCAGCAGGTTAAGTGTCTAACCAAGATGTTCTTAGCATAACTGTTGAACATATTCCACCTAACCTTATGTTATCAAGTTGCAGGGTTGTTTTGTTGTTGTTTTTTTTTCTTAGAGATGTAGTCTGGTATTTGACTTCTCAGCAAATTAATGCAAGAGCTAAGATATTGGGGTTGGCATTTTAATATAAAAACAAAAAATAAGCTACTTCTGTTCCTACTATTTAGTGTTATAATTAGTGCGATGACAAAGCATTTTTAGCTCACCTGAGCTTGCTCAGGGTGAGCTTTTAGGATCGGTGAATGTCCGTCGTCCGTCGTACGTCCACAATTGCTTGTGAACACTCTAGCGGTCGCATTTTTGCCTCAATCGTCATCAAACTTGGTCAGGATGCTTATCTAGTTGAAAGCTCGGATGAGTTCGAACATGGCTCATCTCGGATGAAAAACTAGGTCACAAGAGCTAAAAATAGAAAAACCTTGTGAACACTCTAGAGGTCACATTTTTGACCCAATCATCATCAAACTTGGTCAGGATGTTTGTCTAGATGATAGCTCGGATGAGTTCGAACATGGGTCATCTCGGATGAAAAAGTAGGTCACCGGAGCTAAAAATAGAAAACCTTGTGAACACTCTAGTGGTCACATTTTTGAACCAATCTTCATCAAACTTGGTCAGATTGCTTGTCTAGTCAATTGCTTGGATAAGTTCGAACATGGGTCATCTCTGATAAAAAACTAGGTCACAGGAGCTAAAAATAGAAAAACCTTGTTAACACTCTAGTGGTCACATTTTTGACCCAATCATCATCAAACTTTGTCAGGATGCTTGTTTAGATAATAACTCGGATGAGTTCGAATATGGGTCATCTCGGATGAAAAACTAGGTCACCGGAGCTATAAATAGAAAAACCTTGTTAACACTCTAGCTGTCACATTTTTGCATCAATCATCATCAAACTTGGTCAGGATGCTTATCTAGTTGATAGCTTGGATGAGTTCGAACATGGGTCATCTCGGATGAAAAAGTAGGTCACCGGAGCTAAAAATAGAAAAACCTTGTAAACACTGTAGCGGTCACATTTTTGCATCAATCATCATCAAACTTGGTCAAGATGCTTGTCTAGGTGATAGCTCGGATGAGTTTGAACATGGGTCATCTCGGATGAAAAAGTAGGTCACCGGAGCTAGAAATAGAAAAACCTTGTTAACACTCTAGTGGTCACATTTTTGCATCAGTCATCATCAAACTTTGTTAAGATGTTTGTCTAGGTGACAGCTCGGATGAGTTTGAACTAGGTGTCATCTCGGATGAAAAAGTAGGTCACCGGAGCTAAAAATAGAAAAACCTTGTTAACACTCTAGCGGTCACATTTTTGTATCAATCATCATCAAACTTGATCAAGATGCTTGTCTAGGTGATAGCTCGGATGAGTTCGAACATGGGTCATCTCGGATGAAAAAGTAGGTCACCAGAGCTAAAAATAGTAAAACCTTGTTAACACTCTAGTGGTCACAATTTTGACTCAATTGTCATTAAACTTGGTCAGGAAACTTGTCTAGGTCATTGCTGGTAATAAATCGAACATGGGACATCTCGGATGAAAAACTAGGTCACAGGAGCTAAAAATAGAAAAATCTTGTTAACACTCTAGTGGCTACTGTCGTGATCCAAATATTCTGTTAATTGGTCTGAAAGTTTGTTTTGATGATTTCTAAGTCAAGATCGAACCAGTGTTCCCATTTACGCACATATGTGCGTATTTTACGCACAAATAACAAAATTCACGTACAGAAATTTAGGCAAGAGGGTAAAAATACGCACAGAAAGTCGGAATCTTAATCATGTATAATTCAAAAATTATTCTTTTGAGCAATTTTTCAAACAAAATTCACTTAAAGTGCATTGAAATTGATGAAATGTGAGAAAATCTCCGAATTCACAATGAAGTTTACAGACCCCCAACTGGGAATTATTGCCGTAAATTACAAATTTCAAATTTTTGTTTTACGATGCCTGTAAGAATAGCCAATGAAAAACAGTCTTAATATAATTGTAATCAGCAACAACTGGAATTGTAAATGTTTCTGCAGAAAACTGACAAATTTCATTTGTCACATATTTTCGCGATGCCGATTTTGTTAATTAAAAACATCAACAAAAGGGAAGCTCTGTTTTGTTCAAAGGTGTGTTGTCACAATTTATATGCTGTTTAACTTTATGAACTTAGATAACTTCAATAATGTTATATTAATTGAGATTGAGATATATGCCAGTATGTGTTGGTCACAATTAATTTTACCTAGGGGGGGGGGCAGTGATGAAGTGAATCTTGAAGAAAACAGCATAATTGTCTGATGTATGATTTTGGAATTATCCTTAAATTTCATATAAATATTGTACAAATTTATGTACCCCCTGAATTTTTATTTTAACCCCAGTTTTCAAAGGTACAGTACAGCTCGCGCGGAATGTACTTTTTTCCTTTTCCCTCCGCGGAACTTGGGAGGAAAATCGCCGAGAAACTCCATAAAACTCCGCAATTTTCGGAGGTGTCGCGGAGACAGAAATTCGCCGAAAGCGGCGGTATTTTACTTAAAAAACGGTGTATTTCAGTCCTCCGCGATTCTCCGTGACTTTTCTTTCAATTGGTGCAAATAAAATTCATAAAAATGATCAAAATAAAAGAAATTGTTTCTTGTAAATGTATGTTGTGGATCTACTTTCGATTTCAGCAAGGATATTATCTGTTACCTGGCCGGTATTCCGGACCATTGCACACGTGTTTATATTTATACCTATGACATAATAATAGAGATGAGCGTATATTATATCATATGCATATGTATATTATTTAAACTTGATGAATGCAGACTTGTTCATAATTTTATGAGACACCTATTATGCGTTGTCTTTCAACGAATTTATTTCATACAATTCATGTTAACAGAAGATCTAAACTTTTGTAAAAGTGATTGTTGTTGTTGTTCTTGTAGTAACTGTGTACGGTTTTAATGTTAGGCCTAATTGTTTTTGTGTATCATCAAATTCAATACATTTATATACATGTTTATCTTTAGATCCATCGTCTCTTCCCATCATTTTATTTCTAACGAGTCATCTTTGAAAATAGATTGTACACTCGTGTGTGTAATAATAATAATTTCTATATTTGTTTTCATTTCAGGACCTTAGCAGTGTTAATAGTTCAGAAAAAGAAGCGAGTTGTATTCTCCTTAAGAGTTCAACTTCACATTCTCTTCCCTTTTCTTTTCCTTAATCTTGTACTTTTGGATTGAGATTATCTACATATTATATGAAGTTCGGTGGAGAAATTTCACGGATTAAGGCTGCGTCGATCTTCGGAAGATATGTACTGTAAGCTTTGAAGACGTCAAGACAGACTTTCTGAATGATAAAACTTAGGATTTGTCGGATGGTCCTTATCAAAAGGCACAATGTATCCTCATTACAAAAAAAAGAATTATAACAAACAACTTTTGACAAGAATGTGCACATCTGAGCAAAAAGATAAGTATGTGCAAACGGCGCTCAGTCATTGGCGTTGACATCAAACATTATACTCAAAAAATGTTCACTTACCAAATATATCATCTATGCAAATGTTGAATATTGAATAAATATGTTCCTCTACCATGAGGAGACTTACTGTTGGATAGTTCTTAATGTCTCCGTATGTGATTACATACCCACCTTCTGTAAGCGTCATATCCATGTACATGTATGTTTGCCGGCTTTAAAAAAAAGGGGGGGGAGGCAAAGAACAATGATACACAGTATAACATTCATAATATTCTTTGTTCACTTCTTTTATTTGTCAACCTTTGTAGAACAAATATTATTAGTATTAGTTATACTTCAAGTAAGAAGTTATTTAGATAAGGCACATCGTCTCTGGAAACTCTTGAAATCTTCCATGCATGGTCATCTTGCTGGAAAAAAAACGTTAATGATTATAAATGATTGATAGAATAAAAAGTATTTTGAAACCAATATCATTATACACTAAATGAGAAAAAAGAACGTTCAATCTTATTTATTGAAAATGAAGTCGGTATAGTTTTTCACCAGTGTGTATACATTTATATTGAGAAGAGAAACTGTATAAAACACAGATATATTTTATCGTAAATTATTATAGAGAATTGTAAAAGGTGAAGACATAATAATTTTCGCTGTTGACACATAAAATTATCAGTGAGGACGTACTAGTTTTGTTGTACAAATTTGTGGACATTTGAAATAGACATCGTGTACGCGTTGGGAAACGTATAGGTCAAGAACTACATGTATATAAACAGGTAACCAACCCGTCCCTAGATTTGCCACTACTTGCCAGCTATTTCCACTGAAAAGGGTGGCATTAAGTGTAAAAAAGGTGGCATTAACTGGAAAATGACAAAATTCCACTCTTTTTCCACTGTAGTGACAAAATTGCCACCAAATGCCACTATCCTTTGGTGGCATTTAGGTGGCATTGAGTGGAAATTTGAACATAGACTTTTTTTATGGTGGCAAAAGGGTGGAAATTGGTGAAAAATGAAACTTAGTTTATTTTGAAGGTGGAAAATGAGTGGCTTTTAGTGGAAAAGTGAAACTCTAACTATTTTCTGGGTGGCAAAATAGTGGAAAAAAACTTAGAAAATTTTGTGAAAAACTTTTAGTCGAAAAGGGAAACTCTTAACTATTTTCTGGGTTGTATAAAAATTGGTGGAAAAAACTGAGAAATCTAATAATTGTGCATTGCAGGGTTTAAGATTTATTTAAGTCAAAGCTCCAAACTGAAATAAATCTGTT